CTGCCTTCTTGTGGTCTCAGATCTCGTGACGCCGGCGGCAGAGACTCGACAACGGCTCCTACCTATCATCTCCAAATTCCGACGATTTTATTGCGGCGAGGGCATCGGTGACAGTGGCGGAGGAAGAGAGGAAACAGAGCGGCGGTTTGACTAGGTAGAGATCAGCCACTAATAATCGCGGCGGAATGGAAAATATCACGACGGCGACAGAAGAGAGAACATAGAGGGCTAGGGTTTGGGGAGTGGAGAGAGAACGATGAATGAATATGAATTGAGTACGAACGTGGTGTTCTAAAAACTGATTTTATAAGGGCAAAACAGGTACTTCAAGTTGCTCGGGTCTACCAAATTAAAAACCAAAATTTGGGTTTTTGACTATGACAGAAAAATCAATAGGACCTCCTCATATATATTTTCAGAAATAGGAGGTATCACTCATTTACCCTAATTGGTTAATTAAATTAGCCAATTAAATTGTGTCTAAATTAAATTATATCTTGTCTTGCAAGACAAATCATGGAGATAAATATCAATTAATTATTGGCCAATATGATTGTTTCTTCTCTTTCAAGTTTTAAGAGATAAATATCAAATTAAAAGGGCCAATCAAATCGCGCCACATCATCAAGAAGGTTTATCTAGGACTCTTATTCTACCACTATAAATAGGGACCCTCCCTACACAATTCAAGACACAACTCAAGAGGAAAAAAAACCGTAGGAGAAATTCTCTCTACAATATTCTAGTCGTTCTTCATCAAATTCAAGGCACGTTAAAGTGTTTAATTCGAGATTACGGTGCTAAACCCTCGAATTAACATTATTAACATCAAATCAAGATCGAAGGGAGATTGAAGGGCTAAATCCATCAAGAACTCCAAGATCTTCAAGTCAAAGTTCATTGAAGTTTAGCGTTCGATCCGAGACTCAAGTCGCATGTAACATCCCGCATTTTCATAAGCATTTATATATGATTATATTGAACATATAGTAAATACGAATATACGTGCATTTCATGAATCGAGTAGCAATTTATACGTTCTCTATGTGTTTATGTGATTAGATACATTATAGTATTTTTAGACGTAGACATTATTATTAATTTAGTAGTTGATTCTAATTATGTGATTTAATGAATTATGTGCTTTAGTCCATGGATTTTAATGATGTGCTTTAATTGATAATTAATCTAGGATTGAGATGATGTGAAATTAGTTTTCGTTATAGTTTAATTGGTATCCTATGGAATTTATATGAATTATATGTTTTAGTGTGTGTGTATTGGCCGTGTGTTGTGTGTGAGGGAAAATGAATTACTCCCTAAGTATATTAATTACAAAGGACTCCCCTCTTCTCTTCTATATTGCTAAGATGCCCCCAAGGTATGTTCTCCCAAATTCTCAATAAAACCTCAAAGTCTTTTATATTGCAAATAAGGGCCTCATCTCCCCTATAAATAAACCCCTCCTCTTCACAATCTCTTCACACCAAAACATCAGCCAAAAGGCCCCTCTCCTCTCCCTCTCCATCGATCAAAAACAGCCCCAAAGAAGAATTCTCTTCTTCCATCACCCCATCAAAGCCCCTCTCTCCTTCCTCTCTTCAATTCCTCTCCAAGAGAAACTCCCTCTTCTGCAATTCTGCTAAAAATCTTCAAGCAACAGCCCCTTCACATCCTTCATACTTAGCCCCAAAGCCATCCAAGAACATCCAAGCCAAACCCGCCGAAAATCCAC